ACAGCTGCAGTCGCCTACCTGGAGTCTGCCCCTGATGGTGGCAGCCTGGGCAAGCTCATCTTCAAGGACATCGCTGACGACCAGAAGGTTGTCAAGGAGGTGGACGCGATCGCCAAGCGCTTCATTTCCTGGGACAACAGCAAGTGCTTGCACAGCTTCAAAGCCCGCTACCATGGCACACGACGTTTGCTGGGTCCTCTTGCATTGACTTCGTACGGCGACATGGTGAAGGTGGGGATTGCTACCACGACCACGGAAGCACCGGAAACAACAACCACAGAAGAGCCGGAAGCACCGAAGAGTTACTACGGCAGTTGGAAGAAGAAGTGGTGGTCCTGGAAGAAGGGGTACTCCGGCTACCCACAGGCGACCACCAACCTCGTTCAGGACGGCTCGTCGGACACCGTACATTTCATGCAGATCGACAAGAACGGCAGCCACAAGGAGCTGTGAGTCGCAAGACGCCTATGATCCAGTTTTGTGTACCCTTTCCAGGCATGTCAGAATATCTAGTCTCAATAAGAGCGTTTTGTTAGGCCAGCGGCAGCAGAAGCGGACATGCTTCAACGGAGCTTACTTCCAAAGTGCCGGTGGGAAGGGTTCCAGGGAGGCGGCCCAAAAGCGGCCCGCAGATCTTTGTTTGGTGTGTGTTCGGCTTGACGAGGGCTGTGCTTTAGGCTCTCGCGAGAGATTTGAGCGATCAAAAAGACTCACAAATATGTCACTGCGCTGCGTAAGTATGACTCTGAAGCGGAGTTTTGACAGAAGCTCCCGCACGATTGGCATCCGGGTGACACCACCACGCACCAAGCAGCTCAGCAACCGCCCTGGTGCTTTGAATTGGAAGTTTTCCAGATTGAATAACCTCAAATCCTTGTTTCAATTATTAAGACCCCTGCATTATCCCGGTTTAATCTGCTGCCTGCTCTCTCCACGTCAACTTACTGCACTCCCTCGACAGCAACAACATGCAACCTTAGACCTTTAAGGAGCCCTCTTATAGAACCCTATACTACCTTTTGAGGCGATTTCTACCATAGAGCCCCATAGTACCCCTTAAAGGAATCCTCAGGCGCTTGTCTGTTCGCACTGAACCCAGGAAGCAAGGAGAGAGAAGACGGCCAGCCATACTCTTCTTCCATTCCAACGCAGGCATGCGACTGCCGGGTTTTGGGGTTTAGGGGTGTAAGGTTTTTGGGGTTTAGGATTTGGGTTTGGGGTTTAGGATTTCATGTCTTCAGGGTTTAGGCATTAGGGTTTGGAATTTGGGGTTCAACTTAAGTACAGGGCAGCCTGGTCAAGGCCAGCGAGATGTAGGATGCTTATCAACCGTGTGTATGTCAGTGTAGCGTTCAGCAAGTAAGCAGGAAAGTAAGTAAGCAAGCAAGTATGTATGTAAAAATGCAAATCTGCAAGTGTGTAAGTATGTAATCGCAATTATGCAAATGTGTTTGTATGTATGCATGCATGTGTACGTAACTAAGTATGTAGGTATGCAAGGAGGTAGGTCCGATGTACTGCCATACGTCCAGAAGAAGCACCTCGTGACGCGGCTTGAACATGTTTCACAAGTTGGGAAGTCAGAGCACGGTCAAGAACCCAAATTACCGCGACAACCAAAACTAGGGTGTTCGTTCGTATCGAGAACATCAAAACCCTAAACCCTGAACCTTAAATCCTGTTACTCCTAGTAATAAAGGCAGGCTTTGATTTCAGGATTGGGGCCTACAATCTCTGCAGAAGGGTTAGGGTTCAATTGTAGTTTATTTTATGCAGTGGTCAAGCCACTACACGATACTGTGATCATCTGGAAAACGGCGTGCAGTACTGTTTCGAGATTCGCAACAGATCCTTGACTACCCTCTGAGGAGATATTTCTCAGCGCCTGGACTTCTTCAAGCGTTGCTGCCGGAATTTAGATGCCTCTCAGAAGCAATGCTCAAACTTCCGATGCGCCCTAAACACTAAACCCTGAACTACACCCCGCAGCCCAAATCCTATCCTGGACAGTTAAGGGGTTTTAGGGTTCAGGGGTCCCGGCCGGCACTATGCAGCTATTTGGTTTAGGGCTTGGGGTTTAGGGGACTACAGAAACCGTAAACCCTAAACAAACAAATGCGGAGGCTTCTGCACGGCATCTGATCATGGCCCTAACCCTAAACCCTAAACCCTAAATGGGTCTTCAGGCTTGTGTCTATTGCTTGGGGCTCCTAGGGTTTGGGGTTTGGGGTTTAGGGTTTAGGGGTTTAGGGTTTGGGCTTTAGGGTTTAGGGTTTAGGGTGTAGGGGTTTGGGTTTTAGGTCATACAAGTGCTACTAGAACTCACCCCAAAGCCCTGATCTAATTATAAAGGATAAGTAGTTGAGTCGGCTAACCGTCATTGCCTCCCTTCGAAAGTTTTGCTGCAAATCGTCCGCAGTTCACCGTGGCTGGCTGCAAGATGCCTCAGTATATTCTAGCATATGGCTTATTCCAGTATTATACTATATTATAGTATCATGTGCGATACTCCCCAGGCAGAAACAAAGCCTTAATATAGGGGCCTAAATCATCACCTATACTATTTTGGGGGGGTGCCTTATTATAGCTAAGATAGCATGATCTACCCCAAAACTCTATGCTAATTCTTAAGGCCCCTACATTAGGTGGTCGTGCTGGCCATGGAGTACAGAGGCTATGGCCGTTCGGAGAACGGAGGCGCGCTACGCAGGATAACTGGTGACCAAGGCCTCAGGTTCGGGATCACTGGCCCATGTTTCGGGCTTAGGGTTTAGGCTAGGGTTTGGGGCTTATAGCTTTGGGTTTAGGGTTCAGGGTTTCGGGATTAGGGTTAAAGGCTTAGGGTAATGCTTTGGGTTTAGGGTTTAGGGTTTAGGGTTTCGGGATCAGGGTTCAGGGCGTTGGGCTTAGAGCTTTGGGTTTAGGGCTTAGGCTTTAGGGCTTAGGATTTCGGGTTTAGGGTTATATAAGGGATTAGGATTTAGGGTTCAGGGATGTTCTGTACAAGGTTGCTTCTTAATGCCTACGGACCCCTGCTGTCGTCGCATACCACAAATTTTTGCCGTGAGGATTTAAGCTATGTGGCTGAGATGTTGAGCTGTGTAGACACGGGGGCACTGCCTTCGCTAAGCCTTTGAAAGGATTGAAGTTATTTTCTATGATTCGTTGCGTCATGCTTCCTGCACGGAACTACACACGCAACATGTTGGTAGTAAGTAAGGGTTCCTTTCAGGGTCCTTTTTATAAAGGTGCCGTACTATTTTGGGGAACTAAAAAGGGATCCGAATTTAGAGAACTACCCATACTAGACCCTTATAGTACCCATGTAGAAAACCTGTAGAAACGCTTCTAGATCCCTTCAAGGAGCAACTACTGGCCCAAAACCCTGAACCCTAAACCCAAGACCCTGAGCCCTAAACCCAAGACTCTAAACCCTAAGCCCAAAGAAACAAAAACCCTAAAACCTACGCCCAAAAACCCTAAAACCTAAACCCAAAAACCTTAAAACTTAAATCCCAAAAACCCTAAAACCTAAACCCAAAAGCCCGAAACCCTAAACCCTAAAAACCCTAAAACCTAAACCCCAAAACCGTAAAACCCCAACCCCTGTAAACAAGACCATAGCCTCATGGAATGCTGGATTTTTTGAGTCTCCTCGTCCGACCCTTTGAGAACCGACCCCCCCCCCCAATTTAGGGTTTAGGGTTTTGGGTTTTGGGTGCAGGGTTTAGGGGCCATGCGACTAATATAGGGGCCTTCACAAGTACCCTATGCTTTTTCAGGGGCTCCCTATTATGATGATAGAAAGGTATACCCCGAAACCCTATTCTAATTATTAAGGCCCCTACATTATGTAAGGGTTTAGGCTTTAGTAGGGATTCCAAATTAAGAAGTCATGGGGCGCTACAAAAAAGGGTAGTTGCGGGCTCTTTGAGGAGCTGTAAGTCTGAAGCCTAAGAACGGAACCTTGGGCTGAAAGGCAGTGTGGCAGTGGGAACAGTCATTGCGGCTCGAGCGACTTTGAGAAGCCTTACTCGGAACCCTCGCGTTGGCTTCAGCATGGCTGGATCCTGGCTTTTGGCACCGCTTCTGCTGGCACAGGCCCTTGCCAGTCCGGATGTGACGTGCTTGTCTTCCA